ATGGTGAGTAGAATCAACCAAGTTGTATATCAAAAGGGACGGGAGGAAGGTATCCTGCCTACGCATATAAAATGGTATAGGAGATATATATCCTGACTTTGCATCAAGCGAGCAAGTATATGATCGAATAGCCTAAGGTAACATGCTCGGAGTGTTGTCAAACATCTAAGTGTTACGATGAAACATGGATTGGTAGTAAAGCCGATACAACATGTTGCTCGATATGGTGATCAGAACCAACCAAAGTGATCAAGACAAAGACATGGTTACATGACAAGGATGGTCTAACCATAAGATGAGCACGAGCGAAGCAACTTTTGCTAGGGATCTATGGATTAGTCATTACATCGATAAGACGTGGCGGATGGAACCGGCCGAGGTAGTCTAGAAAAATAATGGAATTATATGACCTAAAACGGTCTAACCACCAGGGTGCTTCACGAGCACTAACGATAAAACTCTCGCTGGGGAGTTTTGCAGACGTGAGAATACCCGACTTAAGCATAGGACTCAGATCAGTACACATGCGAACATGGTGAAAAGAATCAACCAAGTCGAAGGAATCGCTGAAGAGGCGATCTTCAAATGTACCTACGGGAAGACTCATGTTGCGAATACCTTAAAGGTTTTTAAAATGCTTTGTGGGGACTTAAACATTTCATTCTGACGTGGTGCAAAAACTCAAGCCAATCAGAAGAAGCATCAAAAAAAGGTGTTGGATGCATAAAGCGATTCAACCTCGTAACGCTTACGCATGATCTCAGCAAAGTGACCCTCAGTGGGGATTTTGGGTTATCCCTTATTAGGAATTTTATATAACCCTTGCAAAGGATTTTTTTTTTTGTGGGCATAAAGATACTCGTCCTATGCATGGACTAATCGAGGCTACATAGTGCTTGAATTAGTGTGATACACACTTCGAGATGGCGAGCAAAGTCTGCCAAATCGATCAAGCGTAAACCTCGCTGAGGATTTCCTCCGGAACAAGAAAATTAGTCTTTGTCGAGGAAAACATCACAATTCGATCAGATATTGAGGATCTCGATTAAGTACGGATCAACTAGGTGAGTGAGTGTTCTAACTGATACGACATGCTTACTGTAAAAGCAGCAAATTACTCGAATCAGGTGGAGTGGTCCAACCCGCATGGGATATCTTGGCCAAGAATCTGTTAAGAGAAGCTCTTACCAGTGAATTTTCAAAATTGACAGGATAATTCTTGTCAGAAGGGAAGATCAAAAATTAATCGGACCTAGTAATTGGATGAATATAATGGCTCATCTCAGAAAAGCGTCCCCCATCGGGGATTCCTCAAAGGCTTATAGATTGGCTTTGACATGAGGGAAACAAAGGTAGCACGACTTGTAGAAGAGGCTTCTATGAAACACCTAACGAGGTGACCCAATTGGGGATTTTTAATGCGGATATGAAGGTACTCTTCTTAGGTAGAGATTGGTTAGGTAAGCTGAGTATTGTAGCCAATGTAACATGCCTCTTCACGATAAAGCAATAAGGATCGCTCACACTGTGGGGATGTAGAGATGGGGATTAGACTATGATGATGGTCTACCCATTGAAATGTCTAGTCTTTAAGCTAAATCACATCCATAGAAGGATCTCAACCGCATTCATTCAAAGCGAGCGGAACAAGCACATAATGTCCCTAGCGATTGCCCGAGCTAGTATAGTCTTTCCTTCTCGAGGCTGGAACTTTACTTCCAGTTCTCCTCTCGGGGCCAGTACCTGAATTCTGATTCCCCCCTTTTGAAGTTTGGCGTAATGTCCCGAGCAGTTTCCATTCTTCGACTAGATCCGGTTCGAATGTAATGTCCCTAGCGGTTGCCCGAATTGGTATAGTCTTTCCTTTTCAAGGCTAGTACCTGAATTCAAGTTCTCCTCCCGGGGTTAGTACCTAAATTTTGATTCTCACCTTGAAGTTTGGTGTAATGTCCCGAGCGGTTGCAATTGTTCGACTATATTCAGTTCGGACGTAATGTCCCTAGCGGTTGCCCGAACTGGTATAATCTTTCCTTTTCGAGGCTGGTACCTGAATTCCAGTTCTCCTCTCAGGGTCAGTATTTGAATTCTGATTCCCACCTTGAAGTTTGGAGTAATGTCCCTAGTGGTTGCCATTCTTCGACTAGAGCCAGTTCGGACGTAATGTAGCTAGCGTTTATCCGAACTGGTATACTCTTTTCTTCCCTGCGTAATGTCCTCTTGAGTTGGATGTAAGTCCTTGTGCTTTCCATCCATATTTGATCTCCTCATACATAATTCCATCCTCTGAAACTGTTAAAATTGAAATCAAAATTTAAATTTTTAAACATCGAATTAAAATCAAATCTTCGCCGCGACAATTAGCTTTCCTAATGGTTGTTTCCGGAATCCCCTTCCTTTTCCCCCAACGAGAGTCCCTGCTTACTCCCCAGCGGAAATCTCCTACTCTCTTTCTATTTTATCCTGAGTATGCTAACTTAGACAGTTGTGTTGGTTTTTTTGATCTCTTCGTTCAACGCAAATGCGTGCGGTGTTCTGGCTCGGCAAATCTATTTGTTAACCTCACTTTTGGTTGAAGTCTAGTTTCCTCCTTAGTAGCCTAAGGTGTATCCATAGGACTTTCTTGTTGATTATTCCTAAAGGACTAGTAAAGAAACCCTCACCATTAGAAACTCTAAACTTTTTTTTACTCAATTTGAAGTTCCACATATTGGTCATAACCTCTAATATTTAGTAGGTGGGACTAATATGAGGGAGCCAAAGAGAGTCCCCATAGCACTTTTTGGCCTTAGGGCGGACCTTGGGTGGTGTGGCCTTGGTCAATTTCATGCACACACACAAATTCGATACCCCCCTCCCCCCAACTTACACTCACAACCTCAGGCTTTAGGCAAATAAGCTTAGTTGGTCCCTTAACTTTTTGGAAAACTCATGTAAATGGTTTCCTAAGCCACTAACCCGAGGCTAGGGTTTAGCTGAGACCAATATATGGAGGACCCAAAGTAAGGAATTCTATTGGTCCATGGCTCAAGTAGGATGGTTGTGTGGTTAGAAAACCCAATCCTACTAAAATACCTAATTTAGCCTTTTACCCCCAAAATTACCAAACTACCATTGAAACCCCAATTTTAACCAAAATACCCAAATTTGTTCAAAAATCATTTCAAACCATTTGAAACCACCCAAACAGCCCAAAACACCCACCAAAATTTTCAAATTTACCAAAATACCCCTAATTTTGCTAAAATTATAAAAATACCCCTGGTGACCCAAACTATCCCAAAACCTTCAAAATCATTTCAAATGTCCTCAAAATCAATTTAAACCACTCCGTTGAGCCCAATTTGATTAATTTGACCAATTTTGAACAAAAGCCATAAATTGTCCTTAAAAATCCAATTAACTCAATTCACCTCCAATGTCCACCAATTTGATCTTAATTTTCCTCAATTTTAAATCTAAACTCAAATTCATCATGCCTAAAATTATTTGAAACTAAATCCAAGTTCAATTGAACCGAATTTCAAACCTAAATCCTAAGACCAATTCAAAATCCCCAATTTGACCTTAAGCCAAAATTTCACTAAATTCAACCTCCAAACCTATCCAATTGCCCCATTTTTGAATCCTAAACTCTTTACAACACTCCCTCACATCAAATTGAACCCTCAATTGGTCTTGCTCAAGCCCCAATCTCACATAAATTCAAATTGGACAACAACCCCCAATTTTGCCCCAAATTCCAAATTCCACTAAATTGAACATCATTACTCCAAAATTTTCATTCAATAGGTATCCAAAGCTCTTCATGGCAATCCCTTGGACCAATTTGAACCATCAATTGGCTCTAACCAAAGCCCTAGCCTCTAACCAAAGCCCTAGCCTAGCCCAATCCAAACATAAGGCTAACTCAAATGCACCAAAATTGCCCATGAGCCAAAATCCATCAACTTGAGCTTTCAAATAAGAAAATCACTCAATTCTTTTTCTAAACTGCTGGTAACAATCATCTGCACCATTTATCTTTTCTAGATGATACTGAACTTCAAATCCTAATCATTAATAAACTTAACCATCTCCTCTACCTCAGATTCAATTCCTTCTAGGTGAATATATACTTTAAATTCTGATGATATGTAAATACCTCATCTCTGATAGGGCTGTCAAGAAAGCTCGTTGTTCGCGAACAGTTCGTGTTCGGTTCGTCAATGAGTTCGTGTTCGATTCGTTCGATAAGTAAACGAGACAAACGCGAACAAATTTTTTTCGTTCAGTTAGTTAAACGAACCAAACACGAACAGTGATGCGTTCGTTCGTGTTCGAATCGTTATTGTTTGAAATATAAAATAATATAAAATAATTATATATAAAAATTTATTAAATTTTAAAACATTAAATTTTATAAATTATAATATATAATAAAATAATAATAATAATATATTAATATACTATAGTAGTAATATACTAATATAGATATTGTATATTTTCGTGTTCGGCTCGTTCGTTAAGAAACGAACACGAGCTTATTTCAAACAAACTAAATTTTAAACGAACCGAACACGAACACAAACTTTGTTCGTTCGTGTTCGGTTCGTTTACACCCCTAATCTCTGACTCTATACAAATAAATTAAATGTTAAAATCATCCAACTGCAAATCTTGACTTAATTAATTCTAAACTATCAGGTTGTACCATTACATTGTCAATGTCAAACCCAATCTTATTTTAAGAATTTAAACTCAAATTTGAACTTGGGTCAAGTCAAATCAACCTGAACTAATGAAGTTTAACCTCCAAATTGGTTCTAATTTTGTTTTCTCAAAACAAAACCCCAATATGTGTATCATGATAAATTTTAGACATCTGTACGAAGGCCTTGCCACAAAAAAATAAAGATGTAAAAATCATTTATTCTGTAACTAAATCTGTTCAACAATATCATTATATTCCACTATTGGTACAATCATGCAATTTATAACATATATATCGACTCAACCAAACATAAAATTCAGCCGACGATATTGCATCGTAAATAAATGTTTAATGCTTGGAACAAGCAACATTATTACAAAAAGAAAAACAACCAAAAGGACCTTGCACATCCTTCCCTCTGGATAGGAATAACTAGAGATTAATAAACTAAAGCGGACCAAAACTCGAACACTTGAGTTATAGTTTTCAACTTCAACTACTCTGAATCGTACTGTATGAGACTGAAGTCCCTTGACTGCGCCATTAGTTTCTCTTGGATCCTTTCTTTTATGGCTGTTCCCTGGTAGGAAATAAAACAAGCATTTAGACATGAGGCAGAAAGAATAGGCTTTTTTAAGCTCGGTGAGCAAGAAAACTGACCATAGAATGACAGCCTTCCTCAAATTTCTCAAGAAATCCAGCAACCCAGCGATCTGCATTCTCAACCCATTCATCATGCAGTACACCAGCAATTTTGGCAACCGTGTTCAGCTGCAAAAGAATGCTCATTAACTCCCAAAAATATCAAAATCAATGCAAAGAACACTGAAACTTTCCCTTTCCCCATTCATCTTAGAGGGAAATAGCATATGCTTAGAAGAGAACATTTGGAGTCCTTTTCAATACCCTGGTGTAACTCAAGCAAAAGCTTTTAGCTAATAACTCAGACCAAAACAATCTCTTAAAAAATTAATTAATATCATCCTAGCTGCCAGTTTTCGTAAAATTTAAGCAGACTAATGCAATAAAACTTAAGAGGAGGTTTAACATTCCGCTTAGCCTCAGCTTGCACCATGTGATATATTATGTGCAAGCAAGAGCTCAACAGAATAAGTGCTTTCCATTTCAAATATATCGTTAGTGCTCGATCCCAGCAAAAACATACTCCTAAAAGCAAAATCAATACTAACTGGCAGTTGGCTTAAGAGGACTAAATGATAAAATATTACTGCAATCACAAATAGCAGGTTAAGCGGTACATGATTTATAAGTGCCCACTCTGCTAGAAAAAAATGGGGTATTTATAAACTCAGCACACAATTCTTATGTATTTACAAATCTCACACCTAACCTTTCATATTTACATGCATAATACTTGTTTTAAACCTAAGCAAGAAAAGGTGTATTTCACTTTCAAAAAGTGATAATCATGCTATTTTTTTTTTATATTAAAGCTTGAGTGATCTATACGTAAATATGAAAGTTTAGATGTGAGATACATAGATAGCTAAGGATTGTGTGCTATGTATGTAAATGCCTCATTATTTTATTTAGTTGAGATTTATAAATGTTATGCATTGGTGTTAGCCATACTGATTCAAGCATAAGCAGGAACACTTTTCTGGGCGATATTTCAGTATTGTATGAAAAGATATCATCATTTTTTCACAAAGAAATATAAATTGCTTCGGATGGTAATACATATGTTCATGCGATTGAATAGGTGCACATGCAAAATGACAGTTTTTAAAGTTATAGCATGATAATTGTAGAACTAATATAAGATGCTGATCCAATTAGATACAGTGGAAAAGAGCGCTGCTTTAGAATAGGACTCTAGAACTTCCAGTCTTCCCTTCTGACAAAATTTATGGTAATTTATCATAAATTATCACCCTTATTTTGTAAAAATCACAACTAATTGTGCAATACGCATTCAATATGAAACAATATATAGAGAACATGTGTATCTGGGATTTCAGCAAAATCTTAAAGTTGGCAATTTTGATTTTTTTTTTTTTATCAACAACTTTTAAAATCCAAAGACAATGAAAAGTTAAAACATATGCATTCAAGAATCTTCCAATTTATAAACAATACAAGAACAACAACAACAACAACAAAGCCTTAATTTTTTAATTCTTCTGTTTTAATTCTCAAATTCTATTTTACACCACTTTCAAAATTAAATCCTACATAAGGTCCAAGCTGTTTTGATATAACTGTTGGAAGAAGTTGGAGCCTATGAAGCACAAAAACAATTAAGCATGGACATGACGTGTTTTTTCATAAATTATTAATATAGAACCAAAAAGAAAAAAAATGATCTATAAAGTACCGCAAAAAATATTAATACCGATCTATCAATAATTAAATCCAACACACTCAACATTGCATTCCATCGCCAGCAACACTAATATCCTCTTGATTTGCACCCTTACGAGCACAAACAATTGAACCCTCAACCGTATCACCAAAACATGAAATTTAATGAACAAAAAGCACCATGTATCCCGTCCATGTCAAAAAGCATCCTAGTAATGTAAGAGTCTTAATGGTATCAACTCCGATTTTAGAAGGAAAAAAAAAATTCAAATATGATTTTTGGCGCACCGAACATGGTTGGGGCATTTCAGAAATGAGTGCATATTTGGAATCAATTTGACGTGGACATGATGGGTTTTTCGAAGTAGCTTTGCTTCATAGATTGGAATTGAGTTTTGAAAGGGAGATTCATTGAGATAAGCTATGTGAAATTTGATGGTTTTGAGTGGGCTACAAAGAATTTCATTTTTAATCCATAATATTTTACAATATTTTATTAAAATTATGAAAAAAGCAAAGTCAAAAGCATACTCCTAGCAATTTATGCTATAATACTATTACTGTACACTAAAAACAGGACAAAAGAAATTTGACAGGTCAAAGGAAGCGATATCAAGAGGAGCCCACCAACCATTAACGTACAACATGCGAGCCAGAAGCATCCATCGGCTCAGTTCCCTCGGAGCTAAAGATGATCGGTGGACTACAGAAGCCGATCGATCAATGAAGCCCAACCAGTCAAAGATTCAGTTGACCGAGAAGTATTCGGTCGATCGACCACTTAGACCCGACAGAGTCTGCCGAGCGGCCTCCCGATGATGCAAAGACTACCGGGCGATCAGCAGGAGAGGCCATGCCAAATACTTATTTATTTATTTGTCCATTTACATTTGTATTTATATATTTATTTATTTACTTTTCCCAAATTACTTTGTAGTGCTCCTGTTAAAGCAGGAGCGAGCAGGCAATTGCACCTTTTGTATCCTCTTTTGTCTATAAATAAGGGATCATTTCTACAGCAATGAACTAATGAATCAATGGTAAAAAGACAAAATTTTAATCTATTGTGCACTCAATCTCTCTCTCTCATGTTATATACTCTACTCCTTTATAGTGTATTTGGGGCCGCTTATCTCTCGTGGCGTAGAACCAAGCCACACTTTTTTTTCTATTTGGATGGCGTGTTTTGGAGGCGTTTTGGATAATTTCGGCGAAATGCGGGCCACAGTTATGACCCCATAGCCCGCATTTCCTATTATATGTCGCTGTGCTTTTTTACTACCCTGCCCCAAGCCCTCTCTTGTGACTGAGCTACTCCCTCCCTTCTCTCACGACCGAGCCAAGCTTCTACCTCCCCTTTCTTGTGCCGAGCTTCTTCTCCCTCCCCTTTCTTACACCGAGCTTCTCCCTCCTAGATCACCTCCTTCTTTCCGGTCCGTGATCCGTGTCTCATATTTGCTTGGATCATTTCCTCTCCTTAGGTTTGTGGTATTCTCTTCCAACGTATCTCTAGCATTATGATTTTCCGATTGGTTTTTCTCTTGTTGGTTTTTGATTGATTGCTCTCTTGTTGGTTTTTGATTGATTTTCGATTTGATCTTCCAACGTGGCTTTGGCTTGTGCTATGAAGTGTTCTTGTAATATTATTTGTTGTTCCTTTATATCATACAGTTCATGGTTGATATTTTTTATTTTATATTTTCATGCTATTTGTAGTTTTTTTTCTTTTTTCCATTTCGGTTCTTTATTTGTGGGTTTGTGAGACTCATGATGAGACGTTTGACCTTGTGGGTTCTCTGGATGGTCTGTTAGTCGTTATATGATTGGTATCACATGTGAAATCTTATTGAGGGCAACCAAAAATCTCTTTGCTTTTCGATGTAGCGGTTTTTGAGTTACTTCTGGATTGTCATTTTGGTGATATGCATATGTGACACATACGAGTTTGATATTACGTAAATTAAAGGCAACCAAAATGTTTTATAAGATTTGTTGTCTTCTTGTAGTGACAGATTCGTTGGTTGATATACTGAGTTCTCTGAGACCTCACGCATGCACAAAACTGTAATTTAATATTGTTTATCAATTTATACATGTATTATGACTAATGGATTGTCTTGAGAAATATTCAAAAAAGATAAGCTTTAGGATTTCAAGAACCTCCCGATGATTATTTTGCTACTGCGAACTTAAGATTTCTTTGCTGACGTCACGTCAGCCACATAGCTATAAAAGACAATTCTACAGGTGCCCGAGGAGAATCATGGAAAACTGTGACTTCTACCGGTGGGCAAATAGGTTCGACGAATCAACCGTCAAGAGTGACCAGGCGTGCAGAGTATCCTTGAAAAACGGCTTAGTCACTGACATACGGAATCTCCACTTTAAGAATAATATTATCATATCATTAAATATTATTTTAATAATCTCTGTACTTTAATAAACATGATACTCATTGTTAAGTGAGGTGTACATCTTATTTTTTGTACTGTTTTGAAATGAATTTTTGCTTCTCAAGTATCAAATATATTGTTATGACAGTTATGATACAAACAGTATTATTACACAGAGGCAGAATAATCATTTGTCCGGAAACAGCTTCAAAACAGCTATTTTCCAATAATACATCCAACCAGCTTATCTTCATGCGCAGCTGCTGCCTAAGACAGCTGTTTATCAACAACTTATTAATAAGCTGCAGGTGCCCCAAATAGACCCTTAACGTGATCCACATGATACATTCAAATCCAACTTCATGAAATATTGCCACTAACAAGAAAAAGAGCACAACACAGAAAAAAACTCATCCGAGAGCTACGGGAAACATGAACTAGACCAGGGAGTTTGTTCAATAATAGATTTAAAAACTAATAGACCAATTGTTGGGTCAGATGGCGGAGTTGACCCGAGCAATGTTCCGAGGAAGAGAACAAGTTTCCTGAGAGCAATAAAATCGAAAGAAAGAGCCCGAAACCCAAGGTTGTCGAGTAGCTTAGGGGGTAGAAAGATTTGCAGACTCTCATTATCCGGACAGTGATGGGACTGCATTGATGAGTAGACCGCAATTTGTGTGCGCTGAGGCTACCATATAAAATTAAGATTCCTTTGCTTGAGTAATATAAAGGTTGTACTGATCCAACTGACCTTATAGCTTCTTTTGAGTCAACTATCTTCTCAAGATCACCGACAAACTGAAGTGTCGACTATTTTACATCATGATGAGAGATAAGTCCCTCAAGGGGCTCAACGGCCTCACGATATGAGTGATATTCTCATTTGTTGATTGCAGGGGAACGTTTCTGGTGCAGTTTGCTATTGCCCAAGAGGAGCTCACAAGCCCTATGACAGGTTAAGCAAGGGCAGAATGAGAGCTTGCGCTCATAACCAGATTCCAGAAGGAGATGTAGGAGGTACGAGATCTAAATCTTAAGGTGGCTCACGAAGCA